ACCCCCCCCCCCCCCCCCCCCCCCCCGTGCTCCCTATTTTTCGTATTTTCTCAAGCAGCCTTTCTGTGCCCGAGTATATGAAAAAATCTTTGGTATTATCTTACACATCAACTGAAATCGCCCATCATCATCACTGCTATAACTACCCTTGGTATTGCTTGAACTCACGTTTGCGGGTGAACTGGCAACCCCCCCACACACACACACACCTATTCATACATGGAATATCCTGGATTGAACAGGAGTGCTGCTGTACGTGTATGTGCGTCAAGTCTTCAAACTACGCCACATACACGCACACATCGCCGACTGACAATTGCAGTAGTGTAGTGACCTAAAAGAAGCCTTTGATTTTGTTGACCGTGGAAGTCAACAGATAACGTGGGGACAAAGCATGTACACCTCTGAATTTCACCCTTTTGTGTGTTCATCTCATTTTTGAATGTTTTTTTTAACCCCAAATGCTAGTCTGGCCTCAATGACGCTTTTCACATACTTTCCGTCTTATCCTTAACGAAATCTGACACAATATTTCTGTGTGACATTATCAGCATGGTATCAAGTCACACTGTTGATATTCCAAATTGGAACTGAATGTGGAGTCGAGAGAAGGTTTCTCCTTAATTTTTGAACTATGAAAAGATCAGTTGCCTCGGTGGGATTGGAATTCACGCGAAAACCACTCACTTTTCGTCTCGATGACAGTTTTGATGTAGCCTCAACAACTGGCGCGACCATATATTTTTGGTTCTATTTGTCTAATCATTACACCATACACGTCGCTCCACGACAATGGTGAAAAATGACGGTCGAGCAATACATTGGCGACTAACATGAAGAAATAGCGGGTCCTCGCGACTATGGGATTTTCCCATTTTGCTGTTCAATAGTGTTTGTAACACAAAAGCTCGCAATTATATGGTCAATAAGATCTCATGTGGAGCACTGTCCTTTCATCTCTCCTGTCACTATTATTTCAACACGTAACTAATTACAGAGAACTGGCAAATGTGCCACAACTTATGAACAAAAAATCTTCAGCATGCGTTCGTGGGTTATGTGATCATGTCACTTCCCGATTGCTCTGACCGAGGAAGGAAGAAAACCTCGGGATCCCCACCCGAAGACTTTGGCTACAAAGGCAGACCCGCATGACAACAGGACGGAGCTCAGAGTCCACAGTCCACTGGGGGCGGGTGTCCAGTTCATTGGATCATACGCCATTCGGACGGGGTCAAACGTCCAAGGTACCCAATACATCTCGATGCCCAGTCGAGCCGGTGACCACTGCCACAACCGAGATGTGGATGGGAGTGGTTCGTACACCTCTCCTTGGTTGGTTTGCAATCAGGGCTTTTAACCAACTCCCCTAGGTGAACTACCAGCTGTTCACCAACCCGGTTATAGCCTCGGATACTGATTTACCGTCCTCTGAATTTGGTGGGAAAAGCACCGCTACGGAAAGGGCTTCTTCAATAAAGGCTATTTAAGACGCTTGGTCATATGGGAGCATTTCACGAGGTATAAGGAAATGATGACCAGTCAACCTAAGATACCGACCCCGACCATACTGAGTCATCCTGTAACTCGTCAACATCGGTTGAGTTCAGATGATTCATTTTTCACGTGCAAAACGCAAAGTAGATGGTGTATTTTTTGATTTGTAAACTATCCTAATCTATGTATCTTTCAAATGTTGTTTATAGGATTGGTGTGTTCTCAAATGATAAATAAATATTTTATTTATTTATTTATTTGCTACAATCATCTCATTTCTTGCTGGAATAGTGCGACAAGAATATCACAAGCATAGCTACTATGAATTCTGGTCTTATTATGATGATTGCCGTATAACAATAAATCTCTGTGGTTTCATCCACCTCAACCGTAATTGTGGTTAAAACTATCTGAAATTCTCGATTGGCGTTGGATACACGGGGAGAATGATTCTCGCCTTCTCATCTTCTGTGTACCCATTTTCAGGCCCTTGTAGACAACGCGAATCTCATCTTTGTGCGACCCGAGTGGATTTTCGCGTGTGATGAACAAGCCAAGCGTGTCCCGTTTCAGAAATACCTGGTCGTGGGCTGATTGCCCAAAAGGCCTACTGCAACACTCGCACACACACATCCGCTTCTTATGGGCATTACCGAATCCCGCCTCCGTTTGTTTTCGAACTCTTTTGATGTATCCGCTGGTTCATACTTATCCGCATCATCCCCATTGAGATACAGATAAGAATGTTCCTGCCGTTTTGCCACATACGCGCAATATCATCATCATTGATAAATAACAGAATTATATCATTTACGGTTTTTTTTAACCATGCTCAGATACTCACGTGCGGATAAATTTTGAGAAAACGATTATTGTTTTTTTTCTCCTTTCTGCTAACTACCGTTAACGCAATTCGAATTGGTGTTTATATAAAGGCAGCACATTGCAATTTTACTCTTTCTCTTGTGCAGTGTCAATAATCCTTTTGTCCTCAAATAGCCTGTTCTCTTTCTCTTCAGATACCGGATAGCAAATTCAATCTACCGGGAATTACTTTTCTTAGTCCCATGTCCTACCACCCACGGGAGCATTTTTACCCATTCCTTCTGGTTCAGACAGCAATCGAGGTTGGACAATTTTGTTTCATCACGAACACCGTTGAATGCATAACCCTGTCCGTTGACGCCGGAGTTTAGCATGTGATTCTTTGGGGAAACGGATGGGTTAGAGACATGTTGAAGAACCGTCACTGGTGGCGTCCTTATCAGGCCAAGTTGTTTGAACCGGTCTGTGTATGTTTGTGTTTAGGTAAAGTTAGACTGTCAAATATTTATACTCAATGTAATTATTCACTGTCGTTTACTCTCTATCAAGTATCGCTACCCGCTACTCATCTTACACTGTCGTAACCATTCCATAAGGATAGGTGGCTTGACTTTGTTCAGTGAAGTTACCCTCACTGTAAAATGATAAGGACATTTTTTGGGCCTATCCATAATTGAGCTGACTTCCTATTTCAACATGGCTTTGAAGATCTGGCAGGGGGGAAGGTGCCATTAAAAATCCCCATATGGTGCAATCCATAAAGGTCTGCATACGACTTCAAATCTGCCTCAAATTGTTGACGAATTCCCGTTTCAATTGATACATTGTCAAATCTATTTTTATCCTATTTCTCCACGGGATGGGTTTACTTTGATTAATGCAGGTATAAATACATTCGATGAATACTGGAGACTCAGTTGTATCGAATCCTTTGAGCTTCCCAGTTGAGGACTTTTGACTAGGCTTATCAATAGTTAGAGACACTGAGTGATACAGTTGAGTATCGTAATCGGTGACCCTCGTGTGCCTACACGCATATACTTTACCTGCATTCTGTTTTTTTCTCAACAGTCCTTTCAGTTTCTTCCGTACAACTGGATGGGGCAAACCCCGTTGGTTTGCTTGATCTTTCACGGAGCAACAATGCGCACTATCGGTCCATTCCAATCATTAATATATTTGTCTATTTTATGCACGATAAAGACAGGCCACCCACATGAAAGATTTCAGATCATTCGATCGACCCTTGGAATTTGTTTGCACACCTGCACAAACTTGCGTTTTTCGTATCGATCAGTGATACCTGATGTGAAAACGAGTAATTCTATATAGTATCTCTTTTTATAGAAAAAAAAGGAAACGACAAATAAATAGTCGAATGGGAATATTTTTGTCAGTTCCAAAAACCGGACGTGGCTGATCTTTCTCACGGATTTTGGTCTGTGATTTGAGGCCGGGGGAGGGGGCGAATTAACATCGAAGGCCGAATGATTTCACAAACTGTTCTGGGGTGCACTTATTTAATCGATGTGATCTTGAATGTTAAAATAAAATTTGTTGTAGTGAGAAGTTACATCTGAAATTTGGACAATATTTGGTGCAGACCATCATGGAAGCTCATTCTTTTCTAATCAATGACAATTGTTTCATTAGGGTGTTTATCCTTGTCAATACAATTAATCTTAATAACATTTTTATACGGTGTAAAATAATTATATCGATAAATGATCTTTCTTATCCTAACTAAATGGAAAAACTGTGTGGTTATAAACCAATCACCCAAAATCTCCCCTCCCGAGGGGGAGGAGGAATATGCGCGAAAAAATTATGAAAATTGAATTTCACAAATATCTCTTCCTTGAAGTGTGCGGCTTGCTGAATAAGCATTGTTTTAATGTCACCATGCCCCAAACCAGGTTAAGAATTAAAGAGTTTTCGGCATACAAATGAACCAGGAGTGTGACTTATTGGATAGGCTTGTAAAGTCCAGTGTTATAGATCCTAGTACCTAGTTTTCTGAAGAAATCCGTCTAACCGAGCATAAAAAGTAAATATTTGAGCTAGATGGGAATTACGCACTGAGTGCCTTGTTGTTGGGCTTCCGTAGATAACACTGTGGTATGTACGAAATTTGTTGCATTGATGAGGCAGGTTTTCAGTCACTACCGCTTGCGAATGGTATTCCCAAAAAGTACATACTTTTCCGATATAAAGCTCAATATCATATCTCACGTGGGGTCGGTAGCAGGAATTTTCTGGAGATACATTGTTATTTCACATTCATACAGGTTCTGGATTGGCATTATCCAAAGTGGAACAGGTTCATTCACCACTCAACAACCCAGATCTCAATGTCATCGAAAATTGTGGTGTTGAGGACAGATGTACGTTAGATACCTCTAGAGTGGCTATGATGTGGCATGTACTGGAGGAAACTGACAAATATGAGTAGATTGGAAAGTTGGTGAACTCCCCGCCAAAACGACTGGCTCAAATTATCATACTACGTAATACAATGAGGCAAAATTCACTGATCGCTGTCAAACTCATAACGCATACAACGTAAGTGAGAATGTGTAAGAAGGATAGGGATTCAGCTTATTTTTAGGGATTTTCTTATATTACACACCAGTGTGTGATGAACAGCAGTCGGCGCTAACCCCATAGTCAAGAAGACCTGCTGTGTGTGTGTGTAAAGGAACCCAACGGTGTTGGGATGTAGAAGAATGATGGGAACGACTGGAAATTAAAACCGTATGCAATGGATACGTGGGCTCCATAAGAAAACTGTACATATATATTCAAATGACGTTCACACAGATCAACTCCTCCAACTAGGCTGAAAAGACAGCTAATTTCGGTCAGTGCATGTCAAATCAGCATCATCTTTCTTTGGAAGACTAGAATAGTTAACAGGTGAACGATAAATAGAAACGGGGAAAACACACTAGTTTATGAATTTGAACATGATCGACTATTGTGTTCGAAACTGACGAAGTTCACGGATCAATGAAAAGAAAGTCTTCCAGTATGAGAGGTCAATAAAGATAAGCCTCGATTAAATTCCCAAAGTATTTGATTCAGCTTCCCTGGATATCTGTTCAAAGCTAATCGCTACCGGATCAGATGGGGAAGGAGATAACCTGAGGAAATATTCGCAACATTAAAAGAGACAGGGATTGGAAGCAGCGGAAAGATGTTGAATGCCGTCAGAGTTGTCAGAAAATTTTGAAAAAAACAAGATTCGGAGGTAGTCTGAAAAAGTCACATTGTCAGCGTATCTGAAGAGAGAAATAGGGGCGTTAGCAGACAAAACACTAATGTAGGTGAGAAATGAGTATGGGAAAATGATTGCAGATTGGAGTGCCCCGGAGTTGTTGACCAATGATTTGGACTTCCTCAGACCTATCTCCCGGGGAAGTAATCAGTGAGTCAGGCCAATAACTGTTTGAGACAACCGAAGGTCTCCAGTCTACGAAGGAGGAAGTGCGGAATAAAATGCAATGCAGATGATAAGTCCAGAAATGCGCAACTTACAGGCTTACCATGGTAATCCAAAGACTTTCTAATTCTATGTAAATATGAGGAAAATGCGTCTAGCGTTCACCTGTTTGGTGTTTAGGTAAACTGAAGAGGGTCATATTGGACAGTAAGGGAGGACTGGATGCGTGTAAGGATAAGGTATTCTGTCGAAGATAAGATAAAGCGATAGGATGGAGGTGTTTCGATTAGAATGGTGAAAATGGATGAGGGAATGGGAACAGTTGTTTAGAGTCCGAGGTGGAACAAGTAATGAACGAAGTGCTTAAGAATGATGCGAATATTTCAGTAAGAGGACTGGTTCCATATATCAAAAAGGAAGATGAAAGATCGTCGGGACCAACGCTAGACGTAGTTTTGGTGGTACGCGAATGCTTCTTTTTTCGAAACAGCCGCTACTTGAGCGACATCATCCAAAGCAAATGGCGTGATGGTATCGTTAGATGGGGAGATGAACACTATTCAAATCCGGAGTTTCTGCTTTGGTCCCACGAAGCGATTTGATGCCATACCATATGGGCTTACTGCTGTTACATCTCGGAAGCTGGGTGGCGTACGACACAAATACGCGATTGACTTAAGCTTTGGTCAGTTTAGAATAATACTTAACAGACTCAGTTTTTAGACGTTTCCGGTCGTCCCTTTTTTCTTCTGAATGATTTTAATAGTGGAGATACGATATTATCTTCGTATATTCAATAAAAGGAAGTAAAAATTAAAACGTGGGGCAACACCAGACGTGGAGAGGGCACGCGTAGACCATAAGGACGACAACAGACCTTGGTAAGGGAGTTCGGAAGTGCTTGAAAACTTCTTCTTTTGAGAAAAGATCGCCATTGGAGTGTCCTGATGGGGTTAAAAAGGAAGGCGTGTCCCATGATTATTATATATGAACGCCAAGCTCTTTATATCACAAATTTTAGTGTGATGACCGGCAGATGTGGAAAGCCTCATAGTTACGAGGACCTGCTGGTCATTGATGGAAACTAGTAACCTAAACCTCGGGACTTAGAGTGTAAAACTACCTAAGGTTCCCTTATGTTCGGCTGGGATGACAGCAAAGTTGGGTGGCAGTGGCGGGCCTCGGACCATAGAGTCCAGAGCATGCCGGAGGCAGTGACTAAACCACTGCACCACCACCCTCGTTGATGTCAGGGTTTTAGATCTTGGCAGATTGTTTTTCTGTCCACAGATGAGGCTAAACTAGCTTCAATTTTACTCTTCCAGTA